AGAGAGGGGGGGGGTCCATCTATTTTCCAGAACACACAAAGGCAGGACAAGAAGCAATGGGTGGAAACTAACCAAAGAGAGAAGCAACCTGGAACTAAGGAGAAATTTCCCAGCAGTGAGAACAATTAACCAGTGGAACAACCTGCCTCCAGAAGCGGTGAATGCTTCAACACTGGAGGTTTTTAAGAAGAAATTAGACAACCATTTGTCTGGGATGGTATAGGGTTTCCTGCCTGAGCAGGGGATTGGACTAGATGACCTCCGAGGTCCCTTCCAAATCTGCTATTCTGTTTAATTGTGGGTGCTCCATCACTGGAGGTTTTGAAGAGATGGGACAGCCATTTGTCTAAAAATGATATAGGGTTTCCTGGCTGAGCAAGGGGGTTGGACTAGATGACCTTTGAGGTCTCTTCCAACTCTTCCTCCTTCCGTTATGTATTCAAGATGGACAGTGAATAATATTTATATGTTACTTCTATGTAAGGGTGTAGGTGCATACATATGTTGTAGATCAGTGGTTCTCAACCTGTGGGTGGGGACCCCATTTGGGGTCGAACGACCATTTCACGGGGGTCGCCAAACAACGCAGTCCGTCATTTTCCCCCCTTTTCTTTAGCTGTGCTACTCCCTTTTATTCTATTGGCTTTTGAAAGCCAATAGAATAGCCTCTCTCGAATAGAGTCTAATTCTATTGGCTTTCAAAAGCCAATAGGAATTGTCCAGGCTGTCTCTGCCCTGCTGAGCCCGCCAAAAGTCCCATTCTGCAAATGGTGCTGCACCCGTTGAGTAGTCCTCGACTTACGACCGGTTGAGTAGTCCTCGACTTACGACCGGTTGGGGGGGGGTCGCGGCATTAAAAAGGTTGAGAACCACTGTTGTAGATAGTATGTTTTAAATGGGTGCTATGTATGTGTGTACACTTTGAGAGCAAGCACTCAATTTCATTTTTTAATGTGTGCCGTTGCACCCACAGGAAAAAAAATAACAATAAAGGTTACCTAATCTCTTGTTATTCTGTCAGTGCAAGAATAAAGGGGACTGTCTATCTGCACGTGTTTGTTTCCGGACAGGTTAAAAAAAGGACCGGAGTAATAATAGGTGGTGGTGGTGGTGGTGGTTTTCCAGAACTTTCTTGGGTTAGGAACGACTTTACAAAAGACAAATAGAACATAAATAAAAAACAACAACTCTACGGTCTCTACCAAAAGCCCACCCACCTCCATTGTTCCCCGTTTAGTACCCCAACTCTTCTTTCTCAAGAATCCTTGCTTCCGTTTTAAGCAGGAAGCCAAGGTGCTAGTCCTCATGGTGGGCAAATGTATGGGGGGGGAGTCAGTTTTCAGAGGAGTGACACTGTTTAACCAGAGAAATGGAGACCTAAGGAATGTAGCCTTGCAGCTTTCTGAAATGTTCAAATATTTTTTGGGATGGAATTCCTCCCGGACAGGCTGTTAACAATAACAGGTAGTCCTCCACGTACGACCACTCGCTTAGTGCCGATTCAAAGTCACAACGGCACTGGGGGAAAAAAAGCCATTTTTCACACTTCGCGGCCGTTGCGACATCCCTGTGGTCCCTACGCGATCAAAAAAAAAATTGGATTCGTAGTTATGACGGTTGCAGCGTCTCCTAGGCAGTCATGTGATCATCCTTGGCGACCTTTCCCAGCTGGGTTCCGACAGGCAAAGTCAATTGGGGGGGAGCCTGCTTTGCTTAACGACTATGCGGTTCGCTTAACGACGGTAGCGGTTCGCTTAATTTAAAAGAGGTCGTAAAATCAGGCAAGACCCGTACGACGAACAGCTTTGCTTAAGAACAGAAATTCTCATCCCGGTTGCAGGTCGTTAAGTCGAGAACTACCTGTGTTTTGCTTTTTGGGTCCGAGGTTCGAATTCCCCCAACGCGGGCTTGAAAAGCCTGCAGCTTTTTACCGCGCTCACAGGAGGAGCCCCGGTCAGTTTCAAAAGGAAACCGAAGCCCTCCCTGGGGGATTAAACGACGGCAATTCCACGATATTCAACCGACAAAAAAACAACACACGAAAGCCTGAGAGACGGAAAGGCGAGGGAAATCGAACGGACGGACGGAGACGGGCAGACCAAGCGAGGCTCCTAAACGGAAGGCGCATCCTCGGAGATGGACAGATCGGATGGTCTTCTTCCCGCCTCGTTTGGGAAGGTGATTTTTTTTCCTCCATCCCTCCTCCCATCTAACCTTCCATCCCTCCATTTATCTAATCTTTCCATCTGTCCATCCGTCAGTCCCTCCATCCCTCCACTCTCCATCCCTCCATGTCTGTCCCTCCATCCCTCCCTCTCTCCATGCCACCATCCATCCATCCCTCCCTCTCTCTCCCTCCCTCCCTCTGTCCCTCCACTCTCCATCCCTCCGTCTGTCTGTCCATCCCTCCTTCTCTCCATCCCACCATCCATCCCTCCATCTCTGTCCATCCATCCATCCTTCCATCTCTCTCCATCCCTCCTTCTGTCCCTTCACTCTCCATCCCTCCACCTGTCTGTCCCTCCATCCCTCCATGTCTGTCCCTCCATCCCTCCATGTCTGTCCCTCCATCCCTCCTTCTCTCCATCCCACCATCCATCCCTCCATCTCTCTGTCCCTCTATCCATCTCTCTCCATCCATCCCTGTCCCTCCACTCTCCATCCCTCCGTCTGTCTGTCCCTCCATCCCTCCATGTCTGTCTCTCCATCCCTCCCTCTCTCCATCCCACCATACATCCCTCCATCTCTGTCCCTCCCTCCCTCCCTCCCTCTGTCCCTCCACTCTCCATCCCTCCGTCTGTCTGTCCCTCCATCCCTCTCTCCATCCATCCCTCCATCTGTCTGTCCCTCCATCCCTCCCTCTCCATCCATCCCTCCCTCTGTCTGTCCCTCCATCCATCCGTCTGTCCCTCCCTCCCTCCATCTCTCTCTCCGTCCATCCACCCATCCACCCACAACCAGCCAGCCATCTTCCTTGTGGTTTGAGTCCTTTCTTGTCTTCTAGAACAATCTCAGTACATCTGCTCCATCTTCTACAAAGGCCCTCTACAACTTGGAGGCCGCGGCCATGTCGTCTTCTCCAACCTAAGACCCCCCCCCCAGCTCCAAAAACTTCTCGTAACTTTCTCTTCGAATGTCCCCATCATTTGCTTCCTCTCTGGAGCACACCCCTTCGTCGGTTCCAGTATCTCAGGGGCTGCCCCAAAGTAGAGGGAGTCAAGCTATTCTCCAAAGCGCCTGAAGGCAGGACAAGAAGCAACGGATGGAAACTAATCAAGGAGAGAAGCAACCTGGAACTCAGGAGAAACTTCCTGACAGTCAGAACAAATAACCAGTGGAACAACCTGTCTCCAGAAGTTGTAGGGCAGTGCCGGTGAACCTACGGCACAGGTGCCAGACTGTGGGCACGCGCGCCGTCGCCCCAGTCCTAGGCCTTCAGCTGGGTTTTATAAAACCTTTTCGCTTTAGGCCTCTGCCGCCGTGTGCAAAAAAAAAAAAAAGTTCAGTCAATTTCAACTTCTCATGGGAAAAAAAAAGATCTCGCCAAGTTGGAATTGATTGATTGAACTTTTTAGTCCCACCCAATCTGCCGTTATCACCGCAGCCACGCCCACCCAATGGGCCACGCCCACCCAATGGGCCACATCCACCCAGCACCCGATGATGCATAAGTGGGTTTTGGGTTGCAGTTTGGGCACTCGGTCTCTAAAAGGTTCACCATCACTGGTTTAGGGTTTCCTGCCTGAGCACGGGGTTGGACTAGATGACCTCCAAGATCCCTTCCAACTCTTGTTATTCTGATTTTTATAAAACCCGACACCACATTCCGGGTGCACTCTGATCAGTACAGAAAAGAAGGAACCACCCAGAGTTCCTGTGTGACAAGATGGTTGGTTAATAAATTTTACAAATAGACAGATAAATAAGTGAATAAGTGAAAAAAATAAAAGAAAGAATGAATGAATAAAAGAATGAATAAACGAATAATTAAATAAATAAAAGAATAAATGACTAAATGAAAGAAAATCAGTAAGTAATGAATGAATGAATAAATAAAAGAATAAACGACTAAAAAGAAAAAAGAAAGAATAAATAAATAAATAATAAAAGTAAACAAATAAAGAATAAATGAATAAAGAAAAGAAAAAAATAAAGAAAAAATAATGAATGAAGAAAAGAATGAATGAATGAATAAGTAAATAAATAAAGGAATAAATAAAGAAATGACTAAATAAAAGAAAGAAAGAAAAAATAAATAATGAACAAATAAAAGAATGAATAAATGAATAAGTAAATAAAAGAATAAATAAATCAATAAATAAAAGAAAGAAAAAAAGAAAAAATAATGAATGAATAAAATGAATAAATAAAAGAATAAATGAATAAAGAAATGACTAAATAGAAGAAAGAAAAAATAAAGGAACAAATAAAAGAATGAATAAGTGAATTAAATAAATAAAAGAATAAATGAATAAATAAAAGAGAAAGAAAAAATAAAGAAAAAATAAATAATGAATGAATAAAAGACTGAATAAGTGAATAAATAAAGGAATAAATGACTAAATAAAAGAATGAAAAAAATAATGAATGAATAAGTAAATAAATAAAGGAATAAATGAATAAAAATGGCTAAATAAAAGAAAGAAAAAATAAAGAATGAATGAATGAATAAAAGAATCAGCAAATAAACAAAAGAATAAATGAATAAAAAGAAAAAAGAAAAAGAGAAAGAAAAAAATAAATAATCAACCAACCCACCCACCCACCACGTTCCTGCCCACTGTCCAGTACAGTACAAACAGTTGTGTAACAAGGACGCTTTTTTGCACACACAAATGCCACAGTGCCTTTCGCCAAAGCCTGCGAGAGAGAGCGATGCAGAGTGGGTCCCAAGGCTGGGGAGAGAGAAAGGTACCCCTCCCCCCCCCAAGCCAGGCTGCCGGGGAGGGGGGAGGTTAGGACCCCTCCCCGCCGCTGCCACTGCCCCCCCAGCCCCTCACCGGCTGCTTCCTCCTTGCACTTCCTCCAGCTCCTTCTGCAACCGTGCAGTCTTCTCCTCCTCCTCCAGGAGGCGCCGTTTGACGGCCCGCAACTCCTGCTGCACCTCGCATTTGATGTCGTTGGCCACCACCACGGCGGTCTGCAGGTCGGCCTGGAAGCGGCGCCACTCCTCCGTGTCCTCCTGCGGGGCAGAGGGAGGGAGGGAGGGTAAGGACTGGCTAGCCTTTGCGGGACAAAAATGACCAATCGGACGCAGGAAGTCCTCGGCTTATGACCGCAACGGCGCCCCAAAATCTCCGTGGCTAAGCGAGACGCTTGAGATGTGAGTTTGGCCCCGCTGGATGAGCTTTCCGGCCCCCGTGGTTAAGTGAGTCACAACCGCTGTTAAGTGAGTCACAGGGTCGTTAAAGCGAATCGGGCCTCCCCCCCCATTGACTTGGCTTGTTGGAAGGTCATGTGACTGACCAGGGGGATGCTGCAATGGTTGTCATTGTGAAACATGTCTGGAATGGTCTCGCGCTTGAGCAGGGGGCTGGACTAGAAGACCTCCAAGGTCCCTTCCAGCTGTATATTGATTGATTGATTGATTGATTGATTGAAATGGTCTAGAGTCTCCTGCTTGAGCAGGGGGCTGGACTAGAGGACCTCCAAGGTCCCTTCCAGCTGTATTCTGTTTCTGATCATAAATCACTTTTCTCAGTGCCGTTGTAACTCCGAACGGTCACTAAATGAACAGCTGTAAGTCAAGGACTATCTGGACAACTCCCAGAATTCCCTAGCCAGTATGCTAGTGCTAAGAATTCTGGGAATTAAATCCATCCATCGGTCACTTGAGTTTAAACACTCTTGGTATAAGCACATGTCCACAGTCGGACAAAAATTAAAACTAAACTAAACTAAACTAAAAATATAGGTAGTTCTCAACTAAACGGTCCATTTAGTGACTGTTCAAAGTTACAGCAGCATTGGAAAAAGTGACTTAGGACCATTTTTCACATTTAACGACTGTTGCAGCATCCACATGATTTGTATTTGGATACTTGAGAACTGGTTCAAAGTGATGACGGTCACACTGTCCCCGGGGTCCTGTGATCCCATTTCATGACCTTCTGGCACGCAAAGGCAATGGGGAGAAGCCAGATTCACTTAACGACGGTCGCACTAATTCAACAGTGATTCATTTAAGAGCCGTGGCGAGAAAAGTCGTAAAATGGGGCAAAACTCCCTCACTGAACCAATTTCTCACACTTAGCAACATAAATTTTGGGCTCAGCTGAGGACCACCCATAATCTAAAAGTAATAATTTAAAAATAAATAAATTAAATTAATTAAAAAGAATTAAATTAATTAATTAAAAAGAATTAATTAAAAATAGATCAATTTAGAAGAATTAATTAAATAACTCAATTAAAAAGAATTAAATTAATTTAAAAGAATTAATTAAATAAATTAAAAAGAATTAGTTAAAATAATTAAAATCATAATTTAAAAATAAATTAATTAAAAAGAATTAAATTAATTAATTAAAAAGAATTAAAAATAAATTAATTAAATAAAGCAATTAAAAAGAATTAATTAAATAAATCAATAAAAAAGAATTTAAATAAATCAATAAAAAGAATTAATTAAATAAAGCAATTAAAAAGAATTAATTAAAAAGAATTAAAATAATTTAAAAGTAAATTAATTAAAAAGAATTAAATGGATGAAAAAGAATTAATTAAATTAAATTAATTAATTAAAATAATTAAAATAATAACTTAAAAATAAATGGATGAAAAAGAATTAATTCAATGGATGAAAAAGAATTAATTCAATGGATTAAAAGAATTAATTTATTACATTAAAAGGATTAATTAATTACATTAATTAAAAAAAAAGAACTTTCCGCCGTCGGCGTTCTCTGTTTCTATCGAGAACAACGCTTCTCAAACTTGGCAATCTGAAGATTGCATGGACTTCTCCCAGAATTAAAATTGTCTACTTTGGGAAATATTGGGCTTAGATCCCAGGTTAAAAATATTCTAATTACGTCTTAGATTTTTTCCTCCTGTGGATGCCATTTTTTTTTTACTTCAGTGCAGTGTATTATTATTATTGTTGTTCTTGTTGTTATTATTATTCCTGTTTTTATTGCCAGGAGTTTAGCTGATGTGTTCTGCTTTTGCATTCTTTCTCTAAGGCTCCGTTGGGTTTTACAGCAATTTCGCCCAGAAAGTTACAGTCGAGTCGGGCAGCCACACAAAAGGTTTTAAGTAAATGAGTGCGCAGGAATCTCTGGTCCTCCCCAACTGTCTGAAAAGACCAGACTGCAGCCAGTTTGATAAGCTTTTGATTTTATTTGGCACGCTAACGGTTTCCTGTTTCTTTCCTGATTTAATCGCGTGGCTTTGACTTCCAGACGTGGCTGCCTCCCGCCCACAAGAGCAGCCGGGGTGAGGGAAGAGGGGTCAGAAAATGGTCAGGGTGGTGGGTGCAGCTGGTATTTGCCTGAGGCATCTGCAGGGATTGGGGTGGGAGCTTTCCCCCGTCTGAAGATCTTTGATCAAGTGGGATAATCTCCCCAACAAGCTGCTGCTGCAGCTGATTCAGCAACAGAGAACCTCACCTGGGTGGTCTCTGAGTTGGGTGGCTTTCTTGCAGACGTTTGATTACCCAACTAGGTAACTTCATCAGTGCTAGAAGGGAGTGGAATTGGAGGAAAGCAGAAGGAGGAGGAGGAGGAGGAGGAGGAGGAGGAGGAGGAGGAGGAGGAAGAGAGAAGAAGAAGAGGAGGAGGAGGAGGACTGTGGGATCCTTGGTGCTCTCTGAGTTTGGTGGCTTTCTTGCAGACATTTCATGACCCAACTAGGTAACTTCATCAGTGCTGCAAGGGAGTGGAATTTGAGGAAAGCAGAAGGAGGAGGAGGAGGAGGAGGGGGAGGAGGAGGAGGAGGAAGACGACGACTGTGGGGGTCCCTGGTGCTCTCTGAGCTGGGTGGTTTTCTTGCAGACATTTCATGACCCAACTAGGTAACATCATCAGTGCTACAAGGGAGGAATCTTTACTCTCTTTTTATATAAAGTGGCTCCATTAAACAACAGCCTACTCAAGGACCTAAGAAGAAAACAGCACTCCCACACAACACTGATAGGGCAACGTAGGATAAACAGAGCACAAAGCCTATTCCCTCCTAGCACTGATGATGTTCCCTAGTTGGGTCATGAAAATGTCTGCAGGAAAACCACCCAGCTCAGAGAGCACCAGGGACCCCACAGTCCTCCTCCTCTGCTCTGCAAACCTCGTTCCTTTCTAGCACTGATGATGCTATCTAGTAGGGTCATGAAATGTCTGCAGGAAAAGCTCAGAGAGCACCAACGACCCCTACAGTCTCCTCCTCCTCCTCTTCCTCCTCCCTCCCTCCCTTTCCACAAACCACACTCCATTCTAGCTCTGATGATGAAATGTCTGCCAGGAACCCACCCAGCTCAGAGAGCACCAGGGACCCCCAACCGCTTAACCCTGAGCTACAGATATTCTCTTCCATCGGAACTTCACCTTAATTCGTTTATTCAGCATCTTCAGTTGCCTCTCCAGATCCAGCTTCTGGTCTTCCAATTTGAGCAGGTTGTCTGGGAAGAAAAGGCATTTTGAGAACAAGGTGGCCGAAGGGGACGGTGGCCCAACCGCAAAAGGCCATCTCCCCCTCCCAGACACACACACACACACATACACCCAATGAATAAAGAAAGTGGAGGCATAATTTATCTAAATCTATCTCTGCTTCCTAAGGCAGGCAGGGGTTGGCAGAACATCCATCCTCCCTCAAGATAGAACAGCTGCTGGAATTGGGTATGTCTAGTTTAATGAAGAGAAGGACGAGGGGGGACATGATAGCAGTGTTCCAGTATCTCAGGGGCTGCCCCAAAGAAGAGGGAGTCAAGCTATTCTCCAAAGCCCCCGAAGGCAGGACAAGTAGCAACGGATGGAAACTGATCAAGGAGAGAAGCAACCTGGAACTAAGGAGAAACTTCCTGACAGTCAGAACAGTTAACCAGTGGAACAACCTGCCTCCAGAAGTTGTGAATGCTCCAACACTGGAGGTTTTTAAGAAGTGACTGGACAGTCATTTGTCTGAAATGCTATAGGATCTCCTGCTTAAGCAGGGGGTTGGACTAGAAGACCTCCAAGGTCCCTTCCAACTCTGTTAGAATCTGATGCCCTTTTGTGGAGGAACAATCTGCTCTCGACCAAAACAATATTTATTTTGCAAAATAAAATGTATTGATTTGGCAAAAATGAAATGTATTTATTTTACAAAATAAAATGTATTTTTTACAAAATAAATGTATTTATTGGGCAAAACATATTGTATTTATTTGGCAAAATAAAATGTATTTATTAGGCAAAAAATAAAATGTATTTATTTGGTAAAAATGAAATGTATTTATTTGGCAAAATTTAAATGTATTTATTTGGCAAAATAAAATGTATTTATTTGGCAATATAAAATGTATTTATTTGGCAAAATAAAATGTATTTATTTGGCAAAATAAAATGTATTTACTTGGCAAAATAAAATGTATTTCTTTGGCAGGATCCACAATATCCAAAACGGACATTTGGGATCCTGTAAAATAAATAATTTTACGCTCCATCATGAACATGCCCAATATGGTCCAGCAGGTGGCGATCTTGTCTCATCAAGAGAGCTGAGGTCTGATCTAGAATAAAGTTGTAAGTAGTGGTGGTCCTTAAGCGGATCTCCACCGGATGGCACCCAATTTTATGACTTTTTTGCAGCGGTCATTAAGCAAAGCTATTGTTTGCAGTGGTTTTTTTCCACTGGAAATTGGAAAATTTCCATAAGTCGTGGCCTTGTGAATAACAATAACAATAATAAAGTTGGAAGGGACCTTGGAGGTCATCTAGTCCAACCCCCTGCTCAGGTAGGAAACCCTGTACCATTTCAGACAAATGGTTGTCCAGTCTCTTCTTAAAAACTTCCAGTGTTGGAGCATTCACCACTTCTGGAGGCAAGGAGTTCCACTGGTTAATTGGTCTAACTGCGGGACCCTGCAAACAGGCATAAATGCAACCTGCTTATTGAGCACCTGGAATGCAGTCACATGACTGCAAAAAAGAGGGGGACTGTCATAACTTTGAATCCAGGTTGTGAGTGAGTAGCTTTTGAGGGTCTGTCCTAAACAGACAACTTTGAATAGATGTTACCATAATTTAAAGGGGTTTTTTTTGAACACTACGGTTACTTCTGGTTTTTGGCAAAACTGCAAATCATGACTTTGCTTAATGACAGTGGTGATAATGATATCACTACCATAATCATTTAATAACGATAGTGATTCATTTGATGACCACCTCAAAAAGATTTATAAAATGGGAGGGCATATGATGACTTTACAAACATCACAACTGAAAAGGGGAAAGAGGAAGGAGGTGAGCAGGAGGGAGAAAAAGTGAGAGAGGGTGAAAAGGAGAAAAAGAGAGAGAGAGAGAGAGAGAGAGAGAGAGAGAGAAAGAAAGAAAGAAAGAAAGAAAGAAAGAAAGAAAGAAAGAGAGGGACGGTGAGAGAAAAAGAAAGAAAAGAAAGACAGAAAGAGAAAGAAAATAAGAAAGAAAGAAAGAAAGAAAGAAAGAAAGAGAGGGAAGGAGGGAGGAAGAGAAAGAAAGAAAGAAAGAAAGAAAGAAAGAAAGAAAGAAAGGAAGGGAGAAAGCAAGCAAGCAAGCAAGGGACAGAAAGAGAAAGAAAATAAGAAAGAAAGAAAGAAAGAAAGAAAGAGGGAAGGAGGGAGGAAGAGAAAGAACGAAAGAAAGAAAGAGAGGAAGGGAGAAAGCAAGCAAGCAAGAAAGGGACAGAAAGAGAAAGAAAGAAAAAAGAGAGGAAGAGAGGGAGGAAGAAAAGAAAGAGAGAGAGGGAGGGAGAGAGAAAAAGAAATAAGAAAGACAGAAAGAAAGAAAGAAAATAAGAAAGAAAGAAAGAAAGAAAGAGGAAGGGAGAGAAAGATAGAAAGCAAGAAAGAGAAAAAGAGGAAGGGAGAAAGAAAGAAAGAAAGAAAGAAAGAAAGAAAGAAAGAAAGAAAGAAAGAAAGAAAGCTTGCACAGAGTCCCAAAGGCAGAGCTTGACCCGCCTGCCCTCTTTCTCCCATCCTACCTCGCAGGGCTGTAGTGATGACACACCAGCCAGGAAGGAAGGAAGGAAGGAAGGAAGGGGGCAAGCCACAACTGACCATCCTTCCTCTGCCACCCCCCCAGCTCCCCACGTACCCTCCATCTGGCCGATGATCTGCTGGTCGTGCAGCCTGACCACCCGCTGCTGCTCCACCTGGTCCTCCAGCTGGAAGAGCGCCTCCTTCAGGCTCCTCAGCTCCGCCTCGCCCTCCGAGCGCCTCTCCTGCAGCTCCTGCCCCGTCTGGCTCAGCTCCTCCGCCTGCCCGGCGCACCTCGCCTGCAGCTGCGCCCCTTCCTGCTCCACCTGCAGGCAAAGCCGGCGTGAAAAGGGGGGGGGGGAGAGGGAGCCCCGGAGCCCTCGGCTGTCTCCCCACCAGGGGCGCGGGGGTGGGGGGGAGGACGAGGGCGTGGCCCTCCGTGTTCTTTTAGCGACCGTTCAAACTTTACGACGGTGCTGGGAAAAGTGGGCAGTTGCGACGGGTGCTTGCCCTGCCGACTGCTGCATTGGTCGCGATGGCGATTCCGGGACAGGCGGCCCTCGACTTACGACCGTTCGTTCAGTGACCGTTCGAAGCGGCCACGGCCGTGGAGAAAGTAACCTGCATCTCCTTTTCACACTTACGACCCTTGCAGCCTCCCCAGGGTCACCCGATCAGAATTCAGAGGGTTGGCAACTGGCATGTACTGATGACGGTTGCAGCATCCTGGGGGGGGGAGGTGTCACACGATCCCCTTTTGTGACCTTCTGACAAGCAAAGTCAATGGGGGAAACCGGATTCGCTTAATGACCGTGTGACTGACTTAACATCTTCTCTGTACCTTGGATGAAAATGCTTTCCAAGTTTATACACTGTTTTTTTAGCCTTTTAATATTTTATTGTACACTTCCTAGGCAAAGGGCCAGTTCTTAAATGGGATAGATAGATAGATGACAGAGATAGATAATGGATGGATGGCAGATAGAGATAGAGAATGATGGATGGAGGGATAGATAAATAGAGAGAAACAGAGAGAAAGATGGATAGATAGATAGATAGATAGATAGATAGATAGATAGATAGATAGATAGATAGATAGATAGATAAACTTTTAAAAAAGGAAAACAAGGCACAACTGGGATCTAAATATCCTGGGTCAGACACAAAAGGAAAAATCCATTCTAAGCCTCAGAGATTAAGAATGTCATTCTTCTTTCAGAGAGCTGTCAAACCCAGTTGTGAGATCGGCTACACACAAACACACCCTCTCTAACCAGATACCTGCTGGTTAGAGGCCACTCCCTATCCAATTCCAAGTACAGCAAAGGTTTATTGGGTTACAAGTCCAAGATTTGCCGGGTGAATGACTGCACTTATGCGCATACCGAGTGCGGCAGCACAACGTCACAACTGGGTTGGGCAGAAAAGGACAAAAATAACTCACCAAGGAAGCTGGTCTAGGCTGGTCTGGGCAGGGGAGAGCAGGGCCAGCTGAGCCAGGCAGAAACAGCCAAAACGTTTGCAAACATGGCCGCTTTAAGACGGGTGGACTTCAACTCCCAGAATTCCCCAGCCAGCCTTGCTGGCTGGGGAATTCTGGGAGTTGAAGTCCACCCGTCTTAAAGCAGCCATGTTTGCAGTCCCCTGTACTAGAATTAGGGATGGAGCTTCCAATGCACAATCAGGCAGGTTTTTAATGGGTCGTACTTGGGTTACGACCGTAAAGGAAGCTGCCCATCGCGGTCGTAAATCACGACAGTTGTAAAGCGGGTCAGTCAGTTCACTATCTTTTTTTGGGAGGGGAGGGTGTCATTAAATGGGCCCATGGTTTGCTAAGGGCTGGTTTTGCTGAAAACCAGAAGTAAAATGCTGGGTTTGGGCCAAACCAGCGTAAAATGCAGGCTTGCGACTTGTCAGCGGCCGGTAAATGCAGCCTGGCTACCCAAATATCTAAATTTTGGTCATGTGATTAGGGGGAGTGGCTGTTGGAACATCAAATTAGGCTGGGGGATTCTGGGAGTGGAAGTCCTCCCCTCTTAAAGCAGGCTGGCTGGGGGATTCTGGGAGTGGAATTCCTCCCCTCTTAAAGCATGGCTGGCTGGGGGATTCTGGGAGTGGAAGTCCTCCCCTCTTAAAGCAGGCTGGCTGGGGGATTCTGGGCGTGGAAGTCCTCCCCTCTTAAAGCATCCTGACTGGGGAATTCTGAAAATGGAAGTCCACCCATCTTAAAGCATGCAGGGAAAGGAATTCTGGGAGTTGAAGCCCACCCCTCTTAAAGCAGGCTGGCTGGGGGATTCTGGGAGGGAAGTCCACCCCTCCTAAAGCAGGCTGGCTGGGGAATTCTCGGAGTGGAAGTCCACCCGTCTTAAAGCATGCAGGGAGAGGAATTCTGGGAGTGGAAGTCCACCCCTCTTAAAGCAGCCAAGATTGCAATAGGGAAGTGGAATAGAAACCCAGTCGATCCCATTTTGTGTAACCTGGACAACTTCCAGAAGCATGGACTTCAATTCCCAGAATGCTTCAGGCAGTGTGGCCATTGCTGAGTGTTCTGGGAGGTAAAGAGATAACTTGCGGAAGGGCTGCCATAACATAACGTCCTCCCTGCGGTCTCGTTCAAATCCCGCTCAGCTTCCTCTCCTGCTTGCAACTTTTGGTTACTTCTGGGAAAGATATCCAATCTCGGTTTCTGGCCACAGAAACAAAGTTTGGGAAGCTTCATTCAGGACTATCTTGGATTTTCGAATCAATGTGGAGTAAGCGTCCTGGAAAGGCAATTCTTTGGACCAAATTAGAAGGGACAGATAGTCCTCGACTTACAACGGCTTGCTGAGTTACAACATGTCAAGGTAATGATTTAAAAGCTAACCTGCTGATGTAAGATGTACGATGTAATGTTGGGAATGACTCAGCAGGGTCTGTGTCCCTTTAAGAGCCAGCAGGGTCTGTGTCTCTTTAAGCCAGCAGGGTCTATGTCAGGGGTGTTAAACTCAATTTCATTGAGGGCCGCATCAGCATTGCAGTTGCCCTCCGGAGGGCCAGGTGGGTGTGGCCAGAGTGGGTGGGCGTGGCCAGCTCTACATCATTCACGTCAAGGGTGCCTGTGGGGGCCTGGGCAGGAGTGGGACAGATTGAGGGTCTTTGGCAGAAGGGGGTGGGACTGGGGCAAGCGCCAAGGCATGGTCCATTTCTTCGTTCCTCACAAAGGGTGATACCTCCCCAGCATGCACCCAGGGAGTGGGGCCGACACAGCAGGGGCTGGTTCCTCGCTGTTTCCAGACGGCCTTGTGGAGCTAAGACTGAATGCGTTTCAGCATAGATGGCCACCACAAAATTGTACATTGGCTCCCGGCCGGCCTGGGCCAGGGCCAAGGCAGCGGGGGCCGTTCCCTCACTGTTTCCAGGATGGCTTTGCGGGCTGCATGAAACCACTTCACGGGCCGCATCCGGGCCCCGGGCCTTGTGTTTGACGTGTCTGTGGTAGATAGTGTAAGATAAACCACATTTAATACAAACCACTGTTTACTGCTGGGTTATCTCAGTGCAGTAAGACTGGGCATGCTCTGACACAACGTCACTGAAATAAGAGACTTATGACCGTTTTCTCACACTTAATGACGGCTGTTCATGTGATTTACATTTGGATGCTTGGCATCTGGTCCACATTTATGATGGTCGCAATATCCCAAGGAGGTCACATGATCCCCTTCGGCGACCTTCCGACAAGCAAAGTCAAGGGGGGGGAAAGCCAGATTCACTTCACGACTGTGTGATTAGCTTAACGACTGCAAGGATTCACCTTTAACGACCGTGGCAAGAAAGGTCGTCAAATGGGGCAAAACTCACCTAACGACTTGTCTCATTTAGCAACGGAGATCTGGGGAATCAATTGTGGTTGTAAGTCGAGGACTGCCCGTATTATCACCTCTAGCGCCCTACGGGATCAAGCTCAAAACGTCCAACACGAGCAGACTCACGCTCCCGCCATCCCGGAAGTCCACAAGAACCAGCCCCTTCCCGCCGTGCCCTTTTCAGGTAGACTGCTGCTGCTCCTGGAGGCTCCGCCGCGCGCCTTACCTTGGCCAGCTGCCCTTGCAGCGTCTTCACCTCGCTCTGAGCCTTCAACAGCTCTTGCCTCAGCTCCATGCAGGATCGTTCCAGCTGGTCGCGTTCGGCTCGGATCCCTCGCAGCAGCTCGTGCGCATCCGAGCGGCCGGCTGCCTGCTCCATGGCGTCCATGGCGGCCGCTTTCCGCTTCTCGCTGTCCAGCTGGGACCGCAGCGACTGGCTCTCGATCTTCAAGCCTTCCAGGTGGACCTTGCAGTCTTCCAGCGTCCTCGCCAAGGTGGCGTTGTTCTGCTGCTCGGTCTCCAGGAGGCCGCCCAACCGCTTGGCCTCCTCTCCCAGGCTCTTGAGCGCCCCTTGAGCGTCCTGATGTTCTCTCTCCAGGCCTCTCAAGCTGCTGGTCAGCTGCTGCTGGATGTTGAGCATCTTCTCGCGCTCAAACTGGGCCTTCTCCTGCAGCTCGGCGCACCTCAGCTCCAGCTCGTGCACCTTGCCTTTGCTCTCGTCCGTTTTCGGGCGATCCTGCAGAAGGGCGCTCAACTTCTCGTTCTCTTGGCTCAGCTGCTCGGCTCGCTCGCGGTGCTGGCAGAAGGAGCTCTCCAGCATGGCCTTCTCTTCGGCCAGCTTCTCGTTCTCCGCCGTCAGCTCCTGGACCACCTGCTGCTGGTCGGAGAGCTCCTGCAGCGTGGCCTGCAGCTCCTCCGCCGTGCAGTGGTGGTTCTCCTCCATCCGCTGGATCCTCTCGGTGAGCGAGGCCACCGAGAGGTCGCTGGCGGTGTTGGGCGAGCTCCCCGAGGTGGAACATCTGGAGCTCTTGAAGACGTTGCTGCCGGTGGACGGCGGCCTGGACGGGACGTCCACGATGTGCTCGAAATCCGACGCGTCCGGAGACAAGGAGGCTTTGGTCACGTCGCTGCTGGAGGAGCCCGAGTTGCGCAGCGGAGGCCCGTTGAGGCACGGACTCCCGCCGGCAGGGTGGCTGCCAAGGGACGGTTGAGTCGGGCTGCCAAAACTGGACTCCTGCGTCGTCGGAGTAGGCAAGCTGCTGCTGGTGTCTGAGAGCGGCGAATGTCCCTGTTGGCTCAGCTTCTCCTTCAAGAGTCGGTTCTCCTCGCCGAGGCTGAGAAGTTCCCTCTGGAAGGTCTTGTTCTTCTCCTGGAGGGCCTGGATGAGGGACTTCACCTCGGCTGGAAGACCATCCACCGGCAGGTCCACCAAGCCAGACAGGTCTTGGTGTTTCTTCAGCTCCTGGCGGAGTTGGGCGATCTCCGAGTCTTTCGTCTTGGCCTCGGCCAGCAGCCCCTTGACCTGGGACGCCAGGCCCGCCTTGTCGCCGATCTCCGCCTCATTCTTGGGCTTGAGGGAGGGGCGGGAATGCTTGGTGGGGGTGGGCACCCCGGAAGACGTGGGGCTGGGCTGAGCTTTCCTGGGCCTCAGGACCGCCTTCTCTCGGCCGACGGCGCTCGGCAGCTCCCGCGGCGCAGGGATGCCCGTGCGCTTGGAGGACGGGGGTGGACCTAGGAGAGAAAGGACGACCACTGATGAACGGGTGGAGATGGAGAGCGGGGAGACGTAGTTCCCTGCCCGCTGGGTGTGCGCCAGGCGGCACTGATCGCTAAGGAGGCTAGCAAAATACAATTCAACGGTGAGAAAACTCAGGTTCCGGATGTGCAGCTTGCTGATGTTGTGAATGCGCCAACACTGGAAGTTTTAAAGAGGAGATTGGACATAGGGTTTCCTGCTGGAGAGAGGGGGTTGGACTAGATGACCTCCAAGGTCCCTTCCAACTGTGTTATTCTATTCTATTCTATTCTATTCTATTCTATTCTATTCTATTCTATTCTATTCTATTAATTCTATTCTATTCTATAATTCTATTCTATTCTATTAATTCTATTCTCCATTCCATATTCTCTATTATTCTATTCTATTTTATTCTATTCTATTAATTCTATTCTATTCTATAATTCTATTCTATTCTATTAATTCTATTCTCCATTCCATATTCTCTATTATTCTATTCTATTCTATTCTATTAATTCTATTCTATTCTATAATTCTATTCTATTCTCCATTCCATATTCTCTATTATTCTATTCTATTCTATTCTATTCTATTCTATTCTATTCTATTCTATTCTATTCTATAATTCTATTCTATTCTCCATTCCATATTCTCTTCTATTATTCTATTCTATTCCATTCCATTCATTCTAACTCCTATTCTATACTATTCTATTAATTCTATTCTATTCTATTAATTCTATTATATTCTAATTCTAACTCTAGTCTATTCTGCATTCTATCCTATTCTATCCTATCCTATCCTATCCTACATTCTATTTTATTCTATCCTGCATTCCATTCCATCTATTCTATTCTATTCTATTCGGTATTTTAATTCTATTCTATTCTATTCTGTTCTCTTCTATTCTGAATTCTATTCTATTCTATTCTTTCATAATTCTATTCTATTCTATTCTATTCTATTCTATTCTATTCTATTCTATTCTATTCTACTCTAACATTCCATTCCATTCCATTCCATTCTAATTCTATTCTGAATTCTCTTCTCTATTCTATTCTATCTTATCCTATCCTATCCTTGCTCCCTTCTCAGCTATTGTTATTGTTGTTGTTATTGTTATATCAAGCAAAGCCTTGAACAGATGCGGTAATTCACGCACACCCCTGCAAGAAATGGAGAAGGAAAACCCAGCGTTTCAACTAAATAGCCACAAACAACGGGGCCTTTGATGCTTTTAATCACATTAGGTGCATTCTGACCAGGCGCTTCATTGCAAACTCTGGCAGCCCTCGCCAAAGATCTGGAGGCTGAACGATGCTTCTAGTTAGTACTTTCCCATTTTTTCCTTTTTTTGGGGGGGGGGTCAAGTTTTTGATACCCCCCCCCCCGCCAGCTGGATGGAGGGTTGGGGGTCACCACAACATGAGGAACTGTATTAAAGGGTCGCAGCATTAGGAAGGTTGAGAACCACTGTTCTAGTACACGTTCTAGATCTAGAAGGAAGGAAGAAAGGAAGGAGTTGAAGTCCACCCCTCTTAAAGCAGGCTGGCTGAGGAATTCTGGGAGTTGAAGTCCACCAGTACTTCCTGACAGTGAGAACAATTAACCAGGGGGAACCACCTGCCTCCAGAAGCGGTGAAGGCTCCAACACTGGAAGTCTTTAAGAAGAGACTGGACAGCCATGTGTCCAAAATGGCATAGGGTTTCCTGCCTGAGCAGGGGGTTGGACTAGATGACCTCCGAGGTCCCTTCCAACTTTATCATTATTATTATTATAACTCCCAGAATTCCTCAGCCAGCATGCCTGGCTGAGCAATTCTGGGAGTCGAAGTCCACCGGTCATCAAAGGCCCCAGTTGGAAGACCCCTCTTCAAACTCCACTGTGTTGCTGCTGTTGTACAACGCAGAGACGTGGGGGGGGGGGAGAGAATGAGCTGGTTGAACAAAAGGACAATCTCTTCCCTCCCTGCTTCCCCCCCCCCCACCTCACACCGCACACACAAAACGTGACCAGTATAGACGGGAGGAAAAAGGGGGTCTTGCACCAGGCAACCACAGTAGGGACTCTGTGATGCTTCGAGGCCGAAGACAAAGAGCGCACTGTTTGGGGTGAGGGTGGGGGGGGGGCAAAGAGAGAGGGGATGAGATAGCAAGGAGCAAGCATTCTCCTCTGGGTGTTTTGCCAGCCACCCACGCTGGGAGTCCGGGCTGAATTGCACAGCTGCAGCTGGCTCGGTTAGGGAGGCGAGGTGAACACCCCCCCCCCCTTGTGACTTTTCCCTCTTCCTCAGTTATAATGTGACAGCTGGCATTGAGCATTTTGCAGTGCTTGGTGAGGCAACCCTGTTGTGGGTTTCTTTAGGAGGAAAGCCTGAAGAATAGAAGAATGAAGTGGAATAGAATAGAAAATGAATAGAACAGAATAGAACAGAATTCAGAATATAGAATAGAATAGAATAAGAACAGAACAGAATAGAATAGAATAGGATAGGATAGGATAGAATAGAATAGGATAGAATAGAATAGAATAGAATAGGATAGGATAGGAATAGGATAGGATAGGATAGAAGATGGAATGGAATAAGAACAAGAATAGAATAGAATAGAATAGAATAGAATAGAATAGAATAGAATCGAATAGAATAGAATAGAATGGAATGGAATGGAATGGAATGGAATGGAATGGAACAGAACAGAATAAAATAGAATAATGAATAGAATAATGAATAGAATAGAATAGAATAATGAATAAAACAGGAATAGAATAGAATAGAACGGAACATAGAACGGAATAGAAAATATGGAATAGAATAGAATAATGAACAGAACAGAATAGAATATAGAATAGAATAGAAGTAGAAGTAGAATTAAAATAGAATTAAAATAGAACATAGAATAGAATGGAATAGAATAGAATAGAATAGAATAGAATAGAATAGAATAGAATAGAAAATGAATAGAATAGGAATAGGAATAGGATAGGATAGGATAGGATAGAATAAGGAAAATGTATAGGGTAGGATAGGATAGGATAGAAGATGGAATGGAATGGAATAAGAACAAGAATAGAATAGAATAGAATAGAATAGAATAGAATAGAATGGAACAGAACAGAATAAAATAGAATAATGAATAGAATAATGAATAAAATAGGAATAGAATAGAATAGAACGGAACATAGAACGGAATAGAAAATATGGAATAGAATAGAATAATGAACAGAACAGAATAGAATATAGAATAGAATAGAAGTAGAATTAGAAGTAGAATTAAAATAGAACATAGAATAGAATAGAATAGAACATAGAATAGAATAGAATAGAATAGAATAGAATAGAACCGAACACAATTATTTATTGCCCAAATAAGATCAAACACAGAAAGAATCCGTTTCCGGTGCATTAAGTTCTCAGCTTACCTACATACAACAACAAAGTGATAGATCATAGGTCAGGAATCAGAGTTACCATGATTAATTACAAGCTGCAAAGAACAACTGATCAGTCCTAAGAAACCAACATAGGAAAAGACAGGAGGAAGGATGAGAAGGTGAGGAAAAGGGAGAGACGAGCGGCTGCTGTGGGAACTGGCTGTTCAGCAGAGTTGCAGGTACACGGGTATCTTTCATTGATGAACATTTAGCAAACGTTCGAAGTTGCAACAGAGCTGGAAAAGCGACTTATGAGCACTCCTCACACTTATGACCGCTGCGGCACCCCCACAGTCCAAATTCAGGTGCTCGTCAACCGATAGGTATTTGCGTCGGCGGTAGTATCTCGGGGTCAAGCGATCCCCATGTGCAACCTTTTCACCCATTGTACCACTTTTAGGATATGGCAACATCCGAGGACCACCAGTCGCCTAGCAAGGTGTCAAAAACTTGATGACCAAAAAAAAAAAAGGAAAAAAGTGATAAAGTACAGGTAGTCCTCGACTTACAACAGTTTGCTTAGTGACTGTTTGAAGTTACAATGGCCCTGAAAAAAGTGCCCCCCAAGCCACAGCTGAGCAAGACACCTGCCTGCCCGCCTGGCTGCGCTCTTCCTCCTGTCCGAGGTTTTCATTGTTGTGAGCATTTCTGTTGAGGATTGGCAGCGGGGGTGGGGTGGGGGGTGTTTGGTTTTTATTCCCCCCCCGTCTGCTGGGTGGTTGCAGCAGGTTTTGGTCCCTTCACATGACCCTGGGACACTGCGACCGTCATAAATATGAATCGGTTGCCAAGCATCTGAGTGTAAATCACAAGACCCTGGAGAGGCTGCAACGTTCCAGCTGATCGGCGCTTCTTCTGGGCTCAGCAGAAGCACCAGGATCAGCGCCGAGCTCCAGCTGGAGCCTGGTGCTGATCCTGGCGCTTCCGCTGAGCCCCAACAGCCCTGCAGCTCCAGCCGTCTCTCGCTCCGGCTTGTGTGGTGTTGCCACCGGTTCAGCCCATTCCCCTCCCCCGCTATCCCTTTTCTAGGATGGTCGCGTACCCCCTGCCAGGGGCCAATGGACCACAGGTGTACCCGAACCACTAGTTGAAAAGCCCTGGATTAGATGACCTCCAAGGTCCCTTCCAACTTTATTATTATTATTAACAATCTGCCTCCCGAAGCTGTGGGTGCCCCAACACTGGAAGTTTTTAAGAAGAGACTGGACAGCCATTTGTCTGAGATGGGATAGGGTTTCCTCCCTGAGTGGGGGGTTGGACTAGATGACCTCCAAGGCTCCTTCCAACTTTATTATTATTATTATTATTATTATTATTATTATTATTATTATTATTATTATTATAATATCTCAACCACTTGGCCTTGCACCGCATGCTCTGGCCTCGCAGCAGTGTGCAGGCCGAATGTGGGTGCAGAATTATTCCCCGTTTTGTCAGCCTCCAGGGGGAACAAATTCCTGCTTTTGGAGGCGGCTGGCAAGCCAGAAGCCTCTCAGAAAAGCAAGGAAAGTAGAAATACCCTTCCCAAATTTCCTTTCGTTTTCCAAGTTTTTTTTTTTT